TTCTTCAGGGGAGGTTATTCTATCTAACTATTTAGTGACCGGTTAGACTGATTTCCCCTTGTTTTGTTCAGAGGAGGTTACTCTATCTTTCTTAATAATGAATGGTAAGAGTGATTTCCCTTTGCGTTCTCATCCCATTTGCAAGTTTCAGTGGTGGTTACACTATCAGATAGACTTAATAATGAAGGATAAGTGTGTTTACCATTTTGTGTTTTCCGGGGGAGGTTACTCTAACAAATATTAGATAAGTATTGGGGAAAGATAACTTAACACGTTCAGAAAAAATCTTTTTAATTCCTGTACTATTTCATCGTTTTTTTTTAAAAAATAATTTGCATACAAAAATACTAGTACTTGTTTTTGTTTACAAAATCAATGATATCAATCAACTGCATAAAAGACAAAACTGTTGCATGATACAATATTTAATATGGAGTTAGGTGCTACCTATGGCGCGGAAAGATCTTATAAATTATGATTTTAGTGTACATGTAAACCAGATCTTTCTTGCACGTCATTAGTAAATGCAAGTATTTTCTATTTTTCAGTAAATGCAAGTATTTTTTATTTTGTACCGTAAACAAAACGAATAAATTGGAGGTGTTCAACCTATCATCGGAGCGCTCGGAATATTCCAACGTAAAGGGGGACCACTGCGCATGCGTCGGCGTTTCCATCATTTTTGTTAATCTCTAATCCAGTTGTTGTTTTAACATTATTTTTTAATGTGCTTATTTATCATAAAGGATATGTTACAATCGTTACTATAGTTCTTATCAATGGAATGTTTATTTTCTGATTTTGTACATCCTTCTTTTACCGGAAGTGTTATTAAGCATGCATCTGCTAGCAATAGTCTGAATTATGTAGACGCTTATTAAAAGCGTTCTGATATCTATATTTAGCTAAAAAGGATTTCAAAATGGCGGCGTCCAGTTACCTAAGGATTTTTTCGCAGCTCATTTAATTTGATTTCATTTGAATTGATACGCGTCATACATGTTATCTAAGAGCGCTACAGCCTTCTACTTTCTAAGATTTCTTGGCTCAAACTGAGTTCCGATAGATTTAGACTTGTTGTGTATATTGTTCAAAACTTAAAATTAATTTATTTTTAAACCTCACCATATAAGATGAATTTACTTTAACGACGCAAATCAAGTAAAGTTCTTTTGAGATCTATTTATGACTCAAATTATGAATATTCGTTAGTCAATCTTTTTCAGTTCCAACAGTTCAATCATAGTTAATCAGAGTTTTAAAAAAAAGAATTTAAAGTACTAGCTATTGATAAAATACATCTCAAGTAATCAATGAAACCAAAATATGTAAAACTATTTGTTTTCGGCCAATGCTTTGATATCTAATATGTAACTCAATATAATTCAAACTAGACTGTTAACAAAAATAACAATAACAAAACTTTCCAATAATATAAATAAAGAAATTTCCAGACTCAAACTAAGTTATTAAAATTATTGTTCCAAAATCAAACTAAGTAAAGTTATGATATTTCAAGTATTCTTCGAGATTCAAACTAAGTTAAGATATTTCAAGTATATTGTTCAAAACTCAAACTTAGTTATGATATTTCAACTAGACTCAAACTAAGTAAAGATAGTTTAAGTATTATTCCAGACTCAAACTAAGTTATGATATTTCAATTGTTGTTCCAGACTCAAACTAAGTTAAGATATTTCAAATATTGTTCCAGACTAAAACTAAGATAAATAAATTATTGTTCAAAAACCAAACTAAGTAAAGTTATGATATTTCAAGTATTCTCTAAGACTAAAACTAAGTTAAGATGTTTCAAGTATTTTTCAAGACTCAAACCAAGTTAAGATACTTCAAGTGTGGTTCCAGACTCAAACTAAGTTTAGATATTTCAAGTGTTGCTCCAGACTCAAACTAGGGTAAGATATTTCAAGTATTGTTCCAGACGCAAACTAAGTTAAACTGTTTCAAGTATTGTCTCAGACTTAAACTAAGATATTTGAATTATTGTTCCAGACTCAAACTTAGTTAAGAAATTTCAAGTGTGACTGAAACTAAGTTAAGATGTTTCATGTATTCTTCAAGACCCAAACTAAGTTAAGATAATTCAAATATGGTTCCAGACTCGAACTAAGATATCTAAATTATTGTTTCAAACTCAAACTTAGTAAAGTTATGATATTTCAAATATTCTTCAAGACTCAAACTAAGTTAAGATATTTCAAGTATTCTTCAAGACTCAGACTTAATTAAGATATTTTATAGTGTGGTTCCAGACTCAAATTAAGTTTAGATATTTCAATTATTATTCCAGACTCAAACTAAGTTAAGACTCAAATTAAGAAAAGATATTTCAAGTGTTCTTCCAGACGAAAGCAAGTTAAGAAATTTCAAGTGTTGTTCCAGGCTCAAACTCAGTTAAAATATTTCAAGTATTGTTCCAAACTTAAGCTAATGTTAGATATTTCAAGTGTTGTCCCTGACTCAAACTCAGTTAAGGTGTTCAAATTATTCTTCAAGACTCAATCTTAGTTAAGATATTTCAAGTGTTGTTCTAGACTTAAACTTAGTTAAGATATTTCAATTATTATTCCAGACTCAAACTAAGTTAAGACTCAAATTAAGTGAAGATATTTCAAGTGTTGTTCCAGACACAGCTAAGTTAAGAAATTTCAAATGTTGTTCCAGACTCAAACTCAGTTAAATTATTTCAAGTATTGTTCCAGACTCAAGCTTAGTTAAGAAATTTCAAGTGTTGTCCCGGACTCAAACTCAGTTAAGATGTTTTAAGTATTCTTCAAGATTCAAACTTTGTTAAGATATTTCAAGTATTGTTCAAGACTTAAACTAAGTTAAGATATTTCATGTATTGTTCCAGACTCAAACTAAGTTAAGATATTTCAAGTATTATTCAAGACTCAAATTAAGTTAAGATATTTCAAGCATTGTTCCAGACTCAAACTAAGTAAAGTTACGATATTTCATGTATTCTTTAAGACTCAAACTAAGTTAAGATAGTTGAAGTGTTGTTCCAGTCACACACTTAGTAAAAATATTTCAAATATTGATTCAGACTCAAACTAAGTCAAGATATTTCAAGTATTATTCCAGACTCAAACAAAGTTAAGATATTTCAAGCATTGTTCCAGACTCAAACTAAGTTAAGATATTTCAAGTATTGTTCAAGACTCAAGCTTAGATACGATATTTCAAGTATTTTTCCAGACTTAAACTTAGTTTATATTTCAATTATTATGCCAGACTTAAACTAACTTAAGACGCAAGCGAAGTTAAGAAATTTCAAATGTTGTTCCAGACTCAAACTCAGTGAAAATAATTCAAGTATTGTTCCAGACACAAGCTGAGTTAAGATATTTCAAGTTTTGTCCCAGACTCAAACACAGTTCAGATATTTCAAGTATTGTTCCAAACTCAAACTCAGTTAAGATATTTCAAATATTGTTCCAGACACAAGCTAATTTAAGAAATTTCAAGTGTTGTCCCATACTCAAACTCAGTTAAGATGTTTCAAGTATTGTTCAGACTCAAACTAAGTTAAGATATTTCATGTATTGCTCCAGACTCAAACTAAGTAAAGATATTTCAAGTGTTGTTCCAGACTCAAACTAAGTTAAGATATTTCATGTATTTATCCAGACTCAAACTCAGTAAAGATATTTCAAGTGTTGTTCCAGACTCAAACTAAGTTAAGATATTTCATGTATTGTTCAAGACTCAAACTAAGTTAAGATATATCAAGTGTTGTTCCAGACGCAAACTTAGTTAAGTTATGATGTTTCATGCATTCTTTAAGACTAAAACTAAGTAAAGATAGTTCTAGTGTTGTTCCAGACACAAGCTAAGTCAAAATATTTCAAATATTGATTCAGACTCAAACTAAGTCAAAATATTTCAAGTTTTGTTCCAGACTCAAACTAAGTTAAGATATTTCAAGTATTGTTCAAGACTTAAGCTTAGATAAGATTTTTTCAAGTATTTTTCCAGACTTAAGCTTATTTTAGATATTTCAATTATTGTTCCAGACTCTAACTAAGTTAAGATATTTCAAATATTGTTCAAAACTCAAACTTTGTTAGGATAATTTAATTATTGTTCAAGACACAAGTTTTCAATTATTCTTCATAACTCAACTTATGTTAAGATATTTTAAGTTTTGTTCCAGGCTCAAACTAAGTTAAGATATTTCAAGTATTGTTCAAGACTCAAACTAAGTTAAGATATTTCATGTATTGTTCAAGACTCAAACTAAGTTAAGATATTTCAAGTATTGTTCCAGACTCAAACTAAGTTAAGATATTTCAAGTATTGTTCAAGACTCAAGCTTAGATAAGATATTTCAAGTATTTTTCCAGACTTAAGCTTATTTTAGATATTTCAATTATTGTTCCAGACTCTAACTAAGTTAAGATATTTCAAATATTGTTCAAAACTCAAACTTTGTTAGGATATTTTAATTATTGTTCAAGACACAAGTTATTTCAATTCTTCTTCATAACTCAACTTATATTAAGATATTTTAAGTTTTGTTCCATGCTCAAACTAAGTTAAGATATTTCAAGTGATTTTCCTGACACAAGTTAAATTATTTCAAGTAGTGGTCTTCATTGAAACGAAGCTTTTTTTCATTTATGTATGTTTAGATAGTAAAGCAGTTCCCATGACACAAATTAATTTCATTTTTTTTCCAAATATTAACAAATATGTTAATGTTTCAAACTATGAAAGGACATCGTTAGAATTATTTAGAATTTTAAGGATGTTGAGATATTTTAAATGTTGTCCAGAACTTAAATCGATTTTTAAAATTTGTTTAAAGAAATATTTACAAACGAATAGAAGTTTCCAAGATACAAGATAGATTTAAAATATTCCAGATATATATAAACTAGTATACAAAATTTTAATGGTTTACCCTGACACAAATAATAGCCAACTATCTTAAATAATACTTAAAAAATCGTGATTAAAGATACTAAGTCTATAGTATTTTCATATTTTTATATGTACTAAGTGAAAAGATTCTAATCAAAGCATTAATCATTAAATCTACCATAAAATTGGTTGAAATATTTCAAGTTCTGTATACTTGTAAAAGGAAGTATCCAATTTTGACTATAGTGTGTTCCTTTAAATTGTTCTTGATATTGCAGAATAATTTGTAAAAACTTGTAATGACCAAAGGAGTACGACTCTTGCCTTTAATAATTAAAAAACGGTGTAACCTCCCCTGAAAATTGAAATGACGTCAAAGACCAAAGGACGACTACTCTCCCTTTGATAATTAAACATTATGCCTTTTGCGGCTAAATTTTACAACCAAATGTTATTACTTTTGATTGATATTTGTTGGAACTTTTACAGTAGCATTATGAAAGTCATTTTCCCCAAAAGTTAATGTTAGTACCAAAGATGTGTGAGAGTTATCAGTTAGAAAAAAATAAGTGGTAATGGAGAGTAAACTGACGGGAAATGACTTTTTATCATTTATAAATACTTGTTTTAATGAAGAGAAGTCTCCTTTGATCCGTTCTTATCATTTAAATTTTCAGGGGAGATCAATCTGTATTTTAAAACAAGTAGCCCCCCTTTTCGCTTGATGTAATTTGCAAAACAAAAATAAATAAATAAATAAATAAAAAATAAATAAATAATTAAAAAAAACTATAACAAATTTAAACAGGCATGTAAAGTTAAAAAATTAATGGAATAACGTATCAAAAGCGAACAAAAGAAGCTAAATGATGCTAGCCCCCACCCCCTTATTAAGCTTTTTGTCAGATCATATAAAAATTGAAAACAACAACAACAATAATAATAAAAAAATCAACAAAAAAAACAAAACAAGCATAAACGCATGCATCGTCGGATACCCACGGTTGATTAGATAAATGTTAATGGTTAGGCAATGAGTATCAGTGGCTATCCGGCGATGAAACGCACGAGGATATGGTTGGAAATGAAAATGATAAAGTAACCCATTGTGACTCCTTATTTAAAGCATTCAAAAGAAAAACAAATGATACTTCAAAATATAAAGGAACACATTATATCATGTATATGGTTGATAATATTATCGGAAGCGGACCTGTCCAGCTTCCTTTCTGAATACGTTCATTCTCAATTTAGGGAATATAACTTGAATAAAATCACATTTGAAATTGGTCAGCCAAAGGTTTAGAGTCCGGTCAATCGGAGTTTTCATTATGTTTCATTACTGTTGATTTCGGTGGTAGTGGTGATATTCTTGGTGGTGTAATTATTATCTAAATATCAAAAAAATTTAAATGGATGTTTCTATCATGACGTTTTTAAATTATCATTATTTCTCGTTGTACGGCCTATAGAGTATGTCTTTATTAACTATTAAATGTTACTTATTACACTTCTTGAAATATACATTGTAAAAAATGCGCATCATTCATTTCAGCAATTTTACTATTGTCATTATGTTAACGGTACAGTATGTTTTATAAAGTCTTAATAAATGTACAATCCTGATCAAAATTTACTTATTACACCACTTGAAATATACATTGCAAAAAGTGCATCATTCATTATTGCAATTATACTCATTATTGTCATTACAATACATTGACGGTACAGTGTGTTGGTAAATAGAAGATGTACAATGTAAAAAGCAAATAAAATGTCCCTTCTAATCTGTTCACATCACGGCATTTATGAAGGTCTTATTTATTTAAGTTCATGTAGAAAATCCAATGGGGCTAACACCTTTTATGGTTTTTATTACTACGCCAAAAAAGTCATTACTTCATAATTGCCATAAATATTAGACAGTTACATGGTAATATATTTCTTAAACTTGGCAGAAAAAAACACCATTCAGAAGTTGAACATGACATTTTCAGAAAGATACCAAATCGTATGAGGTGGATTAAAATCTGTTTGTCACATATGTTGTAACGGCATGCAGTAGTTCCAAACCGGAAGCTTAGTTATTTTGCTGACTGTAAAGAGGGTGGTGTTTTCTTCATTCCTTCACCTGCTCAATTTATCATATTCCGTTTTCTGAAATGTAAAGATCACTGATACACCTGCATTGTAAAAATTATAATTCAACTAAGAATCAACTGTTTTTCCTTAAAGGCACATTATGCCTCAGAAATTAATATTTTTTCCTACATAAGCCAGTACAAACATGAGTATTATAACGTTCAAATAATGCTTTAAAAAATGTTAGATGCTTATAAGCAAAATAAAGTATGGCTGAATGTGAAAATATTTGTTTTAAAGGTCGCAAAATGTAAACACAGTAGTATTTTAACTTCCACACAAAATATTAAATCACTAAAGCAAAAGATTATTCAGATAAATGACCAATGAATATCTGTTTTGAAACTATAATAGGACACCAAAAATAAAAAGCTTTTCAGATATAAAAATAAAAACATTTTTGGGGGCATAATTGGCCTTTAAAGCTGCACAAACAAACCGTTTAAGAAATAACTCTTCAGAAAAAATGAACAAAGAGTCTATTAGACGCCGACTGATAGATATGCATTCGTCTATTCAGCAATTATCTATTTATAGATTGAAAATTAAGATGTTATCGGAGTGCCACAATCAAAGTCACCAGTTCACTACACATTATGCATTAGAAATAATTATGATATTTTATACTTTAATTAAGAGATATTTTTATCTCCCTTATTTGTAATACATTTATAATTATCTCCCTTCCTTCGGCACAATCACTAATGTAGAACCGATATTTTTGACCTATTCGTGAATGTCTATTTTTTTGTATATAGATTGTAATACTTTATTAAGAAAGCGAGTGATCTCGGAAAGAATAGTTCTTCATATTATGTTCAGTTCATTTTTTTTATAGAAAAGCAATAATAATTACAAAAAGTCATGTTCCATCTGAAATTAACATGCTTTCAAAACAAACATTGTACCAAATTAAAAGTTGTTATTATTAATGAACTGTAATCAGTACTTTCTGATTATTTTGTGTGGAAAAATATGTTGATTAACTCTCAGCCTTCTAGTGCCAGCATAATAATACATGTACCCGTGCGACCAGTGCAGACCAAAATCAGTCGGCATATCCTTGACATCTGCTCATGATCTGCACTATTCGATATAAAGTCAGTACATATTTTGAATTTTTTCCTTAAAATGAGTAATGGTTTTGTCCAGATTAGAAGATGGGCAAGTCCATTTAAAATATTTTGCAGCGACTCACAAACCCCTATCTGAAAAATGTATTGTTCTATGTTTAGCTAAAATTTGTATTTCTTCAAAATATCTTACCTCGGCCCTCATTTCATCTACTGAACGTCAGGGGAATTAACTGAGATCATAACATCGAGTAGCAGACACACCGGAAGTCGCAAATTTCCACTTTAAAATTCATTGTCGTCTGCTACCTGTGGATACACTATTGGTAACAAATGTTACATTTTTAGCATTTTAAAAATAATTGTAACTAAGATTATAAGTTATTTGTTTAAATTACTGAAATGTTCTTAATGACCCATAACCCTCATTTGATAAGAATATACATGTATTGTAATCAAATTAACTAAATGGCATATATTTAATTATACTGTGCTCCTCTTAGTTCACGGCACTTAACACTTTAAAGCAAGAAAGAAAACAACACATGAAACTTAGGGTACAAAATTGTTATAAGCTGTAACATTGTTTGTTTGATTGGGTTTTACGTAACATCGACACATTATAGGTCATATCGCGACGTTGGGGGAAGACTTCATGTGCCCCTCCGTGCATTATTTCAGGCACGAACGGGCACCTGAGTAGAACCACCGACGTTTCGTAAGCTAGCTGGAAAGCTGTAACATATATGTATTTTCTGCTATATGACACAAGGAAACAACAATATATTCAGACGTAGACCATATGTCGGCCATTTTGAAAACAGTATGTCGCAGTAATGGTGTTTTATTTAAGTTTTTTCATGTTTCAGTCAAAATTTCTACATGCTATTTTGCATAATTTTAAATATTAGAAGTATGTTTACATTATACCTCAAAATTTATTTTTTTCGACGAACAAGAACAATGCACAAATTTAACGGACTATTGTTGCTTTTTGCAAAAACGTGTAAAATGTTGTTCTATTTTATGTAAAAATCTATAGATTCACAAACACTTTGTTGTTCAGGTGTTTCAATAAAATATGTCAATTCTGACCAATTTTAACACTGGTCACATGAAAACATGCCATTACCGTGAAATAAGTGATGACGCGTAATTAGTGATGTCGAGTATAAATCAAAATCTAGTTTAAAGTTAAAGGTGTTTAGATTATGTTCCCCGTTACACAATCATAATGAATTCTGAAGTAGGAAGTTACACACGAAACATATGCAAAACGAAGTGTTTTACCAAGTGACTAAAATAGCCCTTACTCGTTTTTCAAACAGTTGGGCTAAAAATGGTTCATTATGAAACATTAGACAATAATGATATGTCAACATAATTATTACATTGACACGAGAGTTTATTTTTCAAAAAGTAAACAAGACATACATTACAAGGTTATGATTTCCTTTTTCAAAACCCTAATCTGCTGAAAGCGAGTCCAGTATAGAGCTAGGCCAGCCAGTCTGATATGGTGCATGATTGCATCTGCGAGACAACTGTCGTCTGCTAGGATTCTTCCCTTACGTCTGCTCAATGATCAATAAACATGTTTTTACCATCAATCGAACAATAGTCTGAAATATATAGTGGTAATATTTAAAAATATACAATTTTATCTAGTTTTGTCTTTCAAAAGGAATCCAGTAATGTTTTCTTACGGCATCTGAAAACAAACGAAAAACCAAAGAACAATAATATTGTGCGAGTACTAGTCGAAAATGTCGCATTCTGCATCTAAAATAATCAGTTCTAAATCTAAAGAGATTCAAGATTTTATTAAGGCACAAACATAATGTCTATTGCCATAAACAATAATGGCGTGTATACATACATATAAACATGTTAACAAATGCATAAAACATCTAAATACGAGAAAAGTAATATAACATATATAATATCACAGTCATAAAATAAATATTAAGACTATAATAATTAATGTTTGAAATTAGTTGGAATTAAGCTACCAGTTGTTTCTCTAGCTAAAGTTGCATAGTAAATAAATTGAATAATTTCTTTAAAACATTCTGTTTTGAGTTACCCATTAACATTTTAAATTTGGTGTACATTTGGTCAAGAGCAAGTTAGTATTTAGTTAAATATTGTCTTCGTAGATCAATGTAATACGGAAACAAGCAAGTAAAAAATGATATTCCGTTTCCACTACATTCATATTGCATTTTTAAAAAAATCGTTGATTTCTTTCAATATATTTCTAAATCTTCCTTCTTCAATCATTAATTTATGAGCAGAACATCTAAAACGTGAAAGGGCTAATCTATAATACTATCAAGATACTTCTCTTTTCCAAACGTGCTTTTAATTAAACTTTTTACGTATCAAGTTTTGGCTAGAATTATTAAAATTTCAGAAAACCATTTGTTGATAATATTGATGCATAAATTATTTACGTTGGAATATAGACTTAAGAAAAATAGAATGAGGGTTATCAAAAGTAAGGTAAGAAAAGCCTAAGTCTTGAAGAGAGAACATTTTTACATCATTGGTCCATTTATTAAGCAAACTGATGTCATCATCATAAGTTTATACCAAAATGAATCTGGATTCTTAGCAGTTCTAAACCAAAACTTTACAATACTAATCTTACGTAAAACAAAGAAGGGGAACTCTACTAAATTCACCATATACGGTAGCATTACATGTTTGTTGTCTAACACCTAAAACTTGCTTCATAAACTTTTTATGCACTCGCTCAATATCTGGTGAATTATGAAAGCCCCATATTTCAGACCCATAGTTAAGAATAGGCATTATCATAGAATCAAACAGTTTAATTTTTTCAGAAACATTCAATGACAAGTTATCAAAAAGAGAGTTGAGTGCATATAAAGCCTAGAATCAATGTTATCTTTAATTTATTGTCACATTCTCCACCTATATATTAATATAATTATCAAAAATATCACATTACTCATATTAAACATCAATATAATTATACATGTACAAAATTGGGTATTGTACAGCTGAAAATTCAATATTACTATAAATGTATCTCCCATTTCTAATGAAATTGATATAACTATTTGAAATGATGAATAATAATAATTCGACTAGTATAACAAAATCCAAAATTTTCAAATCGATCACAATGTATCAGCAAAGAATCAACTGTCTTATGGACCACCAATTCCCAAACTATTCAATTTTCGACAAAGAAAAACTACCATAACACAAAATTTTTAATGACATTAACAACTCCAACAAAGACAAAGAAAAACTACCATAACACGCATAAACAACTCCCACAAAGAGACAAACTAAAACACCGAACCCAAATCGAATAACCCCAATCACACACCAACTCCAAAAATTTGAGAAACAAACAAAAACAATCAAAATCGATATAAACAATGCACACAAAATATCGTCAATATATATAAACATAAAACATAGTTTTCAATTTTGACAAAAAAATCTTCATTTCTAAAATAAAATTTTGTAATTCTACGCAATTTCAGTTACTGACATAATACCATTTACATATATATATATATATGTGTATATCAACTTTCTTATAATGTAAAATTTTCCAAATGTAAATTGAATTAAATAAGTATGCTGTTCTTACGTTGCATAATTTGCGCTGTCCTTGTTCCACATGCATGGCCCGATATAGTATGATTACTTGCAAGTTCATTGGTTCCTTTTGAATTTCATCTTCTGAAGCTGATAAAACTTACGAAGAAAATGTTAAAACTCATTTGTCTAAAAATAACTAGTTTCTAAAAAAACTAGTTTCTATAAATAACTAGATTTACCTGATGATTGCTCACTACAATGAACAACGTCATTTTTCATCATCATTGTGTTACACCCATGGACGTCCTCATCAACATAACCATCAACAACAACATTGTCATCAACATGGCCATCATTTTTACATATCACACGTCAATCATCCGTGTCAATACTTTGTTAGCCCTTATATGCCAACTATCAATTATTCATATCTGTATTTTGTTTTATAATTATCATAAGCCAATTACCTATGTATATCAGTATATACGCTTCCATGACATTTTGTCGAAAGACATCGCGTCGAATACAACAGTTTGTCGAATGTGACATTTGGTCGAATACGACAGTTCATCGACACAGAGACTACGACAACACTACAACAATTGATAGAAATTTAACTTTAATCCTACAACACTTGAAATCCCCCACCTCATCACACTAAGTATCAGGTGGTCTTGATTAGATGGCTACAATGGTAAGTAAATATGAATTATGATCATAATGGTCAAAAATACCGTTAACTATGATCGAAACTTCACATGAAAAATTAAAAGTTTAACATGTATAATTCTTATGATTAATGCTAATTTATAATTAAAGTCCTTATTCATGGAAAATTTAACTTTGTGTCAAACAAATTGTACCTACGAAAAATATTTGATAATTTACAAATTTTATGTGATACAATAACATTTCCCGGATTTTCTGTGAAATATTTACATTCTTTCCTTTAAAACAACAGTAACGCTTTCCCGATTTTCATGTGTAATAATGTTACGTTTCGGCTATATAGTTTTAATAAAATATAAAATAACTTACATTTTCTTCGACGTCCTAAAATAAAAGAAACAATTCCAAACCTCCCATACTTTCGTTTCTCACAAACTTCACGCAAATGTAGCTAACAGTAAAGTGCATGGAAAATCACTCGACCATGAATCTTGAGCGCTCGATGTTTAACCACTGATTGATTCTCACGAAAAAAAACTTTACTAAACAAATCCGTTAGAGACGCCAGCTAAACATTTTCTGATCTCTATTCAATTTGCTATGTATTTATATAAAACTATTGTTCCCCGCCTGGATTATTTTGTAAACGTGGTTTGGCACACCATCACGTGACATGCGCGGAACAGTTTTTATTCGTCATTCGAGCATTGAGACGAAAGAACAATTGGAAGCGGTATCAAAATGAAATATTGAAAGAAGCTGGGACCTTAAAGTTAAAAACGGTTTATAATATATAAGTTTGTTAAGGTATTTAATTAAAGGAGCTCCACAGAGGTCCTAAAACCTAAGCACATACAAAATACATTCTTACATAGATAAACTGAATGGACATTTAAAACGGACAAATATGCAAAAGATGTTAAAAATATATAGAGGATATTCATGTTTTTTCTGTAAAAACATGATTTATTTTCATCTAGTGGTATGAAAATAAATATTTCATGAGTTGCGGTAGCCACAAGTGAAATGTGATAATGTTCATGCAACAAGTGAAAATACGAAAATGAAAATAAGCATTTTATTTCATCAATATTTCTCAATATTTCACTTATAGGTATATAATAAATATATATACTCAGATTTGATTTAGATATAAATAATTTTATTTTGTCACGGATCTTAATTACAATGTAATATTTAAATCCGCCATTTTGTGTAATTCTTGTCCGATTTGGGTTAAAAGCGTTTAACCACTTTTCATTTTTGTGTTATTTTGCACTTATACTGGAAAAATGGAGTGAGCAAATAATCTGAAATCTTGCACACAAGTTAGGCCTATGGTTCAGAGTGCATTAAATAGTATATAAATCTCGAAAAATATATTACCAGTTTCGTCATAGCAATAATACGGAAGAGCATTAGTGCCAGGTGTATGTTTGTTATTAACTCGAAATTTCGAGTAACTAACTCGAAATTTCGAGTTACTTATCTCAAATTTCGAGTTACTTATCTCAAATTTCGACTTACTAACCCGAAATTTCGAGTTACTAACTCGAAATTTCGAGTTACTTATCTCGAAATTTCGACTTAGTAACTCGAAATTTCGACTTATTAACTCGAAATTTCGACTTATATTGCACGACTTTCATTGGTTACCGGTGAAAGAAAGGATTGAATTCAAGATACTTTCTTTCGTGTGTAGCTTTTGCACATTGACAGAGCACCTTTGTATTTAACAGAACAATTTAATATGGTCAAATTGTCAATACATACTGAACATATCCTTCGTTTTTTTGTGGAAGGGGGGTGGGGCTGTGTAAAATCTCACATTCCACATTTCCGTGTTAACCGGATGTTTCTTTTTCTAAAATACACATTTAACCATCATGTTGAGATACAACAAGTCCAAAACCACCATATTGTCAACTGTGCAACATTCATGTGTTAAATAAGTTTTAAATGGCGTGTTTACGCGAGTTAGTTTGTCAAGTTTCTTTACACTTATAATGTTTCTGTAACATTATTCTATATTTACTAAGACTTTGATTCATATTTTGTTCATAAAAGATGATAAAAGTGGAACTTGTTGTTATATACATGTTGGGAAAAATATAAAAGCATCCGATTTTAAAAAGATATAGTCAGTCCAACAAATTTGACAAAGGCCCCAGCACCCCTATTTTGGCCAATCCGCGATACTTTCCACGTGAAGTATAGCACATGGATTAGTGAAAAGATATGGTCTAACAGGTAGGATACAATACAACGTCTGAAGAACGCCTGAACGTACAAAATTAAGGAAGCCTTGTGTTTTTTTAGGTCGGGCGTGTACATGCCATTACCAAGTTTAAGTTTAACTTTAATAGTTTGTCCAGGCACCCGTTTCTCCATGTCCATTGTTCAACCGCACTCCCTACTATATCTTATATTATCTAAACTCTTGGTAACTCATAAATTTGGCCATTCTAGTAATGAAAATAAGTCGAAATTTCGAGTTAGTAACTCGAAATTTCGAGTTAACAAGAGC